GACCTCCTGATTAGTTAGTGGTGACATCCCATATGTGAACTCTAGCATTTAGAGGCTGCCATCATGGTGAAGAGATGATAGGGATTGAGAGAAATAGCATGCGCATCTTTCGCATCAAATTGTCCTGACCCCACTGGTCGAGAGTGAGTGTTTCATTTCCATTTTCTATATGCTCTTGTACCCCGGTGAGGACCTAGATTGCTCGGTCTCTATTCTGATATCTTGAGTTGGATGCATGAGTTGACTGTTTTGAGTAAGTGGTTGAATCAAGTCTAGGTTGGCCAGTGAACAGAAGGGAGACTCTTCCTTTACTCGATTTACTGCACTCGATGTCCTCTGTGGTGGTTGTCCAGGTTGTTATTAAAGTTGTTCATGTGTTGATGTTTGAAAACCAGTTTGATTCACGTGTTCTGTGCCTTTATGACTTGTCCCCAATGTTGGTTGATTGAAATATGTAAGCTTACCTAGTGTCTGACTTGGTTTGCTTGGGGACAAGCAAACAGTTAAGTGTGGGGGAATTTGATAGCATCGTATTTGCACGTGTTTTCACTCTGGTTTCCTGTCCATTTTGGCTCGAATTGATTGTTCCTTGGCCTATTTTACGCTAGGTTGTGTTGTTTTGTCATATTCCAGGTCTTAGCAAGTAAAGAGGAGCAAAGGCGCAAGTTTCGGGTCGTTTGGAGGTCAATTGGCGGGTCACAGAGTGAATTACGGGCAGCCCCTGCTAAATTACGGCCGTAATTAGCCAGGGCATGCCCGTAATTAATTGGACGAGCTTTCCCCCCCAGCAATTCTTCTCGGCGTAGAAATTACGGGCAAGACCCCCAGGAATTACGGCCGTAATTCCCAGATTACTGGCGGTAATTGGGAAATTACGGCCGTAACTTCTCCTCTGCCAGCTTAAGTGAAACGCGCGTTTCGGTGTGAATTACGGGCAGGAAGGATTACGGCCGTAATCCTGCCCGTAATTCGCCCAGAGTCGGGTTTTTGAAGGCAGATTCGAGCCAAGGAGAGGGAATTCGATTTTCTGGGCAAAAACAGAGTTTTAGAGAGAGAAAGAGCGAAGAACAAACCCTAGGAGCTATCTTGGAGTGGATTTATCATCATTGAAGCCCGGATTGCGTCCCTAGGAGTGAAGATTGACATCCCAGAGCAGATTTTCCTCATCTTTATGAGTATGGCTACTCTGATTTCTGTTTTCCTTTCTCTCTCTATGGAGTAGAACCTCTCTCTCACTTGGGTATGAAGAACCCTAGTTCCTGATGTTAGGGTTTTGATTGTAATGACTTGGGAATGATATTATTGTTTGATTTTAATCGAATGATCGCATGTTTCATGAATTGATTTGAGTCTGATCAGCTTGTTTCAATTTCTGCTTCAACCTGAGATAGATAGAATCTGATTAGGTTGTTAGAGCTTCTTCATTCGATAGTAGGAGATTGGCTATACGAGAGTTAGCCAGTTTACTGCTTTGTACTGGTGTTCTTAACGCCAGTAGTGGAGTTCTGTGTTTATAGCCTCAGCTTTCTATCCCGGTGAAGACTAGTCGTCTGCCGGGTAGTTAGACTGAGAGGGCTTGGTCAGCTTAAGAGATTCCAAGCTACTGTCGGATCTTCCGCAGTCTAATCAACAGTAAATCAACCCAGGGAATTGCAATTGAACCTAACTAAGGGGCTAGGGGGATTCAATCCCGAGTGACTCTTAACTGCTTTTGAAAACCGAACCAATTCCTGCTTTCTTACTGCTTTTGCTTTTAAACAACAACACTCGACTTAGTTTGCTAGATAATAGAGAATCACGGAGTAAGCAGTAGATCTAGACCCCGGGTTGATAGTATAACTTGCCTGTTACTGCATTCCCGGACTGCGATTGCACTTGGTCGCAGTTTGGTGTTGTGTTTTGGCGTGTCAGTTTCTTTAGGGAATGGGTTGAGAAGATGAAATTGGTAGATCACCAAGCCATGTGTCCTCTATTTACATGGACTAATAGGCAGCAGGGTAATCCCATTGCTCGAAATTAGATAGAATTATGGTCAATGTGGATTGGTTGGAGCAGTTCCCAGATTGTGTTGTCCAGTACTTAGCTCCTTATTTTTCGGATCATTGTGGCATTGTGGTTGTCCCATATGTGTCTGAAAAAAACTTTGCCAAAACCTTTTCGACTTTTTTATATGTGGTATGAGCATGAATCCTTTTCCTCATTATTAGAAATGAGTTGGGGGCGGAAGGTACAGGGGACTGATTTTTTTGGAGTGAAGTAGAAGTTATATCTATTAAAATCTGAGCTCCGAAAGCTAAATAAGGCAGAATTCTCTGATATTTCTGCAAGGGTCAAGGATAAAAGAGAAGATCTTCAGGCTAAACATTTACAAGCACTGCATGATCCTTCTGCAAGTATTTTTGCTGAAGTTAGAGTCCTATCCCGGGATTATTTCAACTACAAAAAGCTAAAGAGGCTTTCTTTTGTCAGAAGTCTTGCATTAGATGGTTTGCTCTGGGAGATACTAATTCTGGCTTCTTCCATAACTCTGCTCGTATCTGCACTACCAGAAAGAAAGTAAGAAAGCTTATATCTCACACTCAAGAGGAGTTGACTGAAATTCAGGCTATTTCTAATGAAGCAGTTTGCTTATATAAAAACCTTTTTGGATATGTAAATAAGGATGTGACTGTAGACAATGCTCTTATTGACAACATTTTAATAGGGAGACTGACTCAAACTGAAAGAACTGCTCTGTGTGAAAGGGTTTCTGGGGATGAATTCAAGCAAGCATGATTCTACATGGATCCAGCTAAAGCCCCTAGTCTAGGCGATTGGACATCAGGATTCTTCAAGAAATCTTGGGGATGATTGGAAATGATATTAGTGAGGGTCTCCAGCTCTTCTTCAAGGAGTGTCGGTTACCGCGAGGTATGAATTCTGCATCTCCGACTTTGGTTCCAAAGAATCAAAATGCAAATAGACTTGCTAACTTTAGGCCTATTGCCGACATAAACGTCATCTACAAAATTATCTCTAAGATTTTAGCAAATAGGCTGAAGAAAGCACTTCCCTCTGTCATTAGTTGAAACCAATATGCTTTTCTTCAAGGACGAAGTATTCTTGAGAATATACTATGGCTCAGGAAATTGTTCAGAATTATAAAAGGAAAACTATTTCCTCTACAAGTGTTATCAATGTTGATTTAAAAAAGCCTTTGATTCTGTTCATTGGGAGTATTTGTTCCGTTTGATGAAGGTGATGGGGTTCCTTCAAACAATTATCAAGTGGATTAGGCTCTTTCTTAGCACAGCATGCTTTAATATTACAGTAACCAGAGCGAGTGAGGCAAGGAGATCCTCTCTCTCCTTACCTCTTTACGATTGCAATGGAACCCCTTACTGGCTTGTTGAATAAAGTAGCTATGCATAAGGAAATTCCATATCATCATAGTGCAAGCAGATTGGCCACACGTATTTATGTTTTGCTGATGATCTGCTAATCTTCTCGGAATGTTCTGCTTTTGCTTTGAGTGGTACTAGAAGAAATCTGACAGGTTTTATAGACTTTCTGACAAATGCGTTGTATTTTTTGGAGGTATGGCTCATCATTATAAGCTCAATGCTCTTCGAATGTCAGGGTTTAAGGAAGGTCATCTCCCAGTAAGATACTTAGGTTTACCATTGATTTCTGGTAAACTATCTAGTGCTGAGTGTGTTATTTTGGTGGATAAGCTTACAAGTCGAATTAGAAGCTGACATGCTGAAAAGGTGCTCAAATCCATTCAGCGCATTTGTTCTAATTTTCTTTGGCATGGGGATGGAACGAGCAAGGCCAAGGTTGCTTGGGAATCTATTACCTTGACTAAAAAGGAAGGGGGACATGGTTAGAATGATTTGAGATCCTGGAATGTTGTCTGCCTTGCTAGACTGATCTGGCTAATTCTAGTTCAAGGAGGTAGCTTTTGGGTTGCCTGGTGTACTCGATATAGGTTGACAGGCGTCTCTATTTGGGATGTCCGACTTACCTCATCTGGCTCGTGGATTTGGAGACAGCTTTTGAAGATGCAGTCTTGGCTTCAGTACAAAATGGATGTGATGAGGATGTTGTGTGACATGGCTAAGGAAAAAGCATGTTACAATCTCAGTTTCTTTAATTTGGGACACTGTCCGTCTGAAAAAACTTTGCTTTTGTATTTAGAGATTCTTTTGCTTATTTGACAAAGAGTCTGCTTAATGGTAACTTCTAATTACCGGAAAAAATGATGGGGCATAACATTCGCTGCTCTACGCTCGTCTTTCAACATAGGCTCGGTTTATGGCTTTTGCCCTTTCGACGGGTAACAATAAGGATTATAGCCATTCAGTAAAGGTAGAGTTTCCAATTTGTGGCAAAAAAGAATCTCTTCTTGATGGCTTAGCCTCCGGTTGACTTTGCCCGCTTTCATTTTATGTATTGTAACGAGTGCCTGAATAGGTTTCCGGGTTGTATCGAATTGTTTACCCTTGGGATATCTAAGACAAAAAAAAAGGACGTCAACTCACAAGTTGAGTCAAATTCGTCCAGTTATTTTGAAATTTTGGATATGATATGAATGTTTAAAATTTTGGACCAAAGACATCCGTTATGTAAAATTCAAGCATAACTATAGTATTAACTTATTTAATAAATAGTTAGTTGTTATGGGCTCTTTACAAGGTAAAAACACTCTTAATTTAGAACAATTAAGGATTTATTCAGCCGTGTCTTTAGGACAAAACCTACAATTGGAATAACCTTTCACTTCGGAAGACAAAACAACTTCGAGATGAAAATAGAAACAGAAAATAGAGTTGAGCTATCCACTACTAGGTAATAAAACTGAATGGCCGAAATTAATGTGCGCATACACACCTACATATGCTAATCGACTTCATCTAAATATGCCTACTACACATACATTGGCTTTACACCATATGCAACATATGTTGAATTCGAGCATGAGGATAAGGAGTACAATATTGATACTTAATGTCATATTCATGGTGACTATTGGAACCATGAATGACATTGTTGAAGCTAACCACAAAGTCGACCATATCTTTCCAGTGTTTGTCAAGAAAACGGTGGTAATAACCAACACACTCAAGGTGCAATTGAAGGTACACTATAAGTCAAAAGACGACGATCTTGGAGTTAGGATGTTGGGACATGATGAAAGCTTTCATTTTACATTTAGGACGACATTGTTTTTCAGAACGCTATTCTATTGTTCCTTTGAATGGCCAGGTAGCAACGGACTCCATTGGTATGATATATACGATGACATGATTAATCATAATGACCCTTCAACTCTGAGATGGCTCATTAAACCCCTTGGAACATGCATGTGGGATAAATATACTTCGCTTTATGACATATGTGATTATTGGAAAAAGTAGAGTGTGTTTTGTTTCTAATCAAACAGTTCAGGTGAAGGGAAGAAGGAGAAGACAATAGATAAGTAGACCACATTGTGTTGATTTTATCTTGTATTTTTGGAAATAAGTTGTAGTATCGTTGGGGGAATAATTTTAGTACATTTTAGTTTCAGCGAATAACGTAATAAATAATTCCTGCAACGATAAAATGGATTTTTTCATCAATAAAATGGTCGCTACTTGATACACTTTAGTCACAAAAATTATTTAATGATGAAACTTTGTGCTTGCAGCTTTAGTTATATTTCTCTAGTTAGGAAAATGATTTTCCCATTAAACCTTTGATTTTTTTTAAATATTCAACCCTTCCAAAATAAAATTTTCCCGAAAAGAGTTTAAAAAATGTAATAGCCGATAAAAATTCATGTTGACGTGGCAATAAAAAGTCAATTGTTTGACTGTGCTAAAGTGGCCAATTTGTGTTGAGAAGAAAATTATAGCCAAACGTTGAGTAAGCGAGTTGTTGATTTGTGAAATATTTCTTGTTCTTATGCATACCATGTCATGTTTTTATCAAGATTTAATACCTTATAATGGCCCGAACTTTACCCTAAATGACTAATTTGGCCAATTTTTTTCAGAAATATCCATAATGGCATAAATAATATCTATAAAAATTAATTTGGCCCAACCAGGGATTGACGGTTATGTCGAGCGATCAATACTGTTGACTAACAATCAACATGGCATGTCAGCTTGAGAAATAATAAAAAATTTAATGTTAATAAAAAATAAATAAATCTCTAGTATCTATTATTTAAAAAAAATAATCCACTCAGTATCCAAAAAATGAACCGCGTCCTATTTGATTCTCCGAACCAAAAAACGAACACAAATTTCCCCCCTCTCACTTTCTTTGGACTAATTTACCAAAAAATGAACACATATTTCCTAGGACCCAAAAATAACATAGATTTTACCTATCTCACTCTCCCCTTGGATAAATGATATGAACAAGATAAGACGAATGAATCACTCACTCTCGATCAGTGAGGTCAGGACCAATGTTATTAAAGCCAAACCTGTAAATCGGGACCCGACATTGAAATCGGCTCGAAACAACCTAATAAATGGCGTGGTCGAAATGACTAGTTGGTCAGCGGTTCCAGCGGTTAACCGCTAGACCCATCTGAGCCGATCAACAGGTTCACGACTTTTCACCTTTCCAGATTTAAACCCTTCTCTTTTGCCATAGATATCCCCATAGGGGAACAACAGATATAAACTATATAACAATATACATGACTTTACAGGTCAAATCACAAATGAAAAATGAAAAGACCTTTGCAGGTCTGACAAAATAGAGCTTTACTTCCACGATATTGGCAACCCTATGGTACCTGAACGACATGGACACAATTTCATGATTTCTTTCCCTTAAAAGGATCAAAATCATAAACTAACCATGCTGAAAATTGAAGCAGAGCAGCAAACCCTTGTAAATCTGGCCTCAGTTAAGCACAAAAGCCGGTAAAGCCTCCACAAAATATACCACTAGTCTTGCAAAATATAAACAAACAGGCAAAAGCTCGCCAAAAGTTGTAGCAGCTTCTCTTATTTGTTGTTCTGATCAGCAGCTTCACTTGCAAAACAAATAAATAAAAGGATAGACCAAGCCCAACAGGTACATGAGAGTAGCCCGAGTAGGGGTGGCAGTCGGTCGGTTTCGGTTTAACCGAAAACCGAAAATCCGGTTATCGGTTAAACCGAGCCACCCTGCATACCTGCCGACCACCGACCATGAAAGTGGTCACGGTTAGCCGGCCAACCGACCGGTCGGTTTCGGTTTTAGGCTCGGTTAGCCGGCCAACCGGAAATTACCTTTTCTAAAAAAAAAAAAAAAAAAATCGAAAATTCTGCACCACTTATTATTCACTCCCCTCTCACTTCTCGATTCTTCTTCTTCCTTTTCCAGAGAAACCTAACCTAACCTCTCTCAATTCTCTTCTTCCTTCTTCTTCTGTCTCCCTACCTCTCTCAATTCTCATCTCTCTCCCTAATATCCTCCGCCCCCAGCAAAACCTAGCAACCACCGCCGCCTCCCCAGTCCTCACCTCCCGCTTCGGCCGCCGCCAATTCCCTGGCCGACACTTCCCAATCCTCGTCATCTCGCTTCGCAGCCGGATAGTCGTCGCCGGAGGTGGTGGCTTCGCCAATGTTGCGTCCCGGCCAACCATCGTCTTCGACACCTGGAGATGGCGATGTTCTTGCAGCCGATTCTGGCGGAGATTGACTCGCCGGGACCGCAACCGCCACTTCGGTCAGATTAACTGGAGGACAAATAGCCGGCGGTAGAGTTTCGGTCAAGGTCACTGGACTGGGAGCGAGAGCAATCGAAGCGCCGTCTGAAGATGGTGGAGAAGTCGGAGCGATACCAAGAGCGGTGTGAATCTCCGCCAGTTCCTTCTTCTCCTTCTTCCTCGCCGTCGGCAACGTCCTCGGGTACGCCGCCGGGAGCTACAGCCGCTTCTACAAGATTTTCCCCTTTGCTATAGATCTGCTTCTTCTTCTGGCTATAGATCTGCTTCTTCTTCTTTCTGTATTTGAGAAATTTTTTTTTTATTTAAGATGTGGGAATGGGGAATTGGGGATGAATCTGGACATGTTTTGGGGAAGGTGAAGTGGGTCTCGGTTGGCCCGGTTAGTCGGATAACCGCGGTTAATTAGCGTCGGTTACTCGGTCAACCGACTCCTTCCTTTTCCCATCCGACCACCGACCGTCAACATAACCGATCGGTTTTCGGTTAGCTGATAACCGGCGATTTTCGGTTAAAACCGGCGGTTATCCGCTAACCGCAAACCGAAATGCCAGCCCTAAGCCCGAGTGTCTTACCCACCACCTCTTACTTGATAAGATCAAGTCCAAATAATTATTATACTAAGAGAAGTTGCTAAGTCTCACTATGAGGAGGAAATAATTATTATACTAAAAATAAAACAACCAAACCCTTAAAAGGAGGGGAATTCTTGGGGCATGCCACGTGGTGAAGATAATGTTGTTGCGTTGTCTATCTGTAAAATCAAAACAGCCATTCCGCTTGATAGAAAATAAAAACCAAGCAGGCCCAAAAAGCCCATGCTAATCACCAAATTAAGGATAGGTCTTTGAAATTGGCTGTTTGACCGGGAGAGCGTACAGTAGAGCCCAGCTCACCAAGCTGCTCTTAGCTCTAGCAGCCACGTAACCTGCCCACCGCCTCCACCTTTGCCTTGAGAAATCTGCAAACCTGGAAGCAGAAAGTGAAGACAAAACAAGTGGCCGGCGGTGGCGCCTCCGACGGCGAACCAGCCGAGAGGAGCAGATGCAGGTGGAGCAACAAAACCTGCACAGCAACAACAACAACGAAAAAACTAAACAAGAGCGAAACCAAATAGGGCGCATGCAAGCTAAAGTAAATACAAAAGTAAACCTCAGGGCCATGAAAATCAAACGAAGAAAAACTGAGTAATAAACACTACCAACTTCAATCTAAAACAACAAGAAGCCAATTTGAATAAACAGGATAATCATCCTATTAGAATAATAATCTAGGAGACTAAGTTCGAACGAGCAACCAAATTCCAAATTGAAATATGTGAGAATATCACCAAAAACCGAGAAGCCAAACGGAGAGAGAAAGCGCCAAGACAGACACGGTGTAGCCGTTAGTGGATTGTGGTGATCAGATCCGGGCAAAGAAACAGAGGATTCATTGCATGGTCGGTGGTCCTCGGACTAGCTTCAGGGGAGAACTTTCTTCCCTCTCTCTTTCTCTCTTTCCTCCAAACAACCTTTTTATAAAACCCTTCTCTTTATATTCTTCGGGATATGCATTTAGTAGTTTTGAAGGAATTGTTATTCATTTCTAGATGTGGCAATTAGGATCCAAATCCATGATTCCAATCCAATTCATCCACCAAATTATCCACTTAATCCAATCCATTTAAATCCAATCCATTTGATCCAAATCCAATTGGATTGGTGTATTCATGGATCAATCCATGGATCCAAATGGCAAATTACGATTTGGTACCTATATTTTTTATGTTTTACATTTTGGTACCTAAAATTTATATTTTTATACAGAAAAAATCATTGGAAAATTACATTTTGGTACCTAAAATTTTTCATTATGACATTTTAGTACCTAAACTTTTCAAAATTTACATTTTGGTCCAAGCCTTGGATGTCATTTGGATTCATGGATCAATCCACCAATTCATTTGATCCAATCCATGAATTCACCAATCCATTTGATCCAATCCACGAATCCACGAATCCGATCCAATTGCCACCTCTATTCATTTCCGATGCATGTGGAGTAGTGGGAAAATGTAACTTACTTTTTAATAATAAAAATGGGGAATGTAAGTAATTAATAACTAAAAACATAAATAATTATTTTTGGTTGTTTAGTAAATAATAATTGTGGCTTTATATTCTCGCCCTCTATGCACTCTGGTCTCTACGTACCCATAACATATTGATTGTTATAAATAAATTTCCTAAATTTTGAGAAATTCATTTTGAAATGAAACTTTTGGTGTTTGGTATTTAAAAGAATTCATTTTCAATTCCAAATTTTAAATTCTACGAAATTGGAGCCAGTTATAGCAATTCCGCGGAATTGAGATGGAATTTCCAAATGAATTCCACAAGTATTTCACTGATTATAATAAAATGACATAATTATCCTTATTTATTAACTAAATTACTTTTACAAGTGGCAATACACAGATTATGCACGCCTAACCCTACTCTTTTCGCCGATATGACCTAATATATATAGTTTCTCATAAGCTCTGCATTTTGGGTGACTCCAAATCCATTATGCGGGCTAAGCGGCAACCTGATACTTGGCAATGGAACCAACTCTCCTACTATTTCCAAATGTTGGGATAATAACCGTCTGCGTGTTTTAGAAGATGGATTTTCAATAAATATTATTTCTACGGGAAATTAATAAGGGTATAATTGGAAA